CCTGGGATAGGCTAGGCAGAAACAAGCACGAGAATTCCTGGAAGCATGGCACTCCACGAAGCATGCTATTAATAAACACATCGAAGTCAACCCCATATACATTCCACTATGGAGGAAACTCGGAAGTGAGGCAATCCATCGCAATGGACGCCAGAGTTTAAAAACCAGGCGGGAAAACAGACCAACACTTCATCAGAGGCTGCACTGAGGATGTTACCAAGCACAGTAACGAAACGTCTGCGGAACAACAAACCAGCTCGGCGAGCCAACCAACCTCAACACCCACAACCCGAGCTACAGATCTACTCCAAAACCTTAAATTGTGAGTGTACTGGTGGATGCGCCAGAAGACTTAAAGAATTGCAAACATTATGGCCTTGTTCTAGAAAGGTTTTAAGGATAATCCTTGCAATTATAGATCAGTTCAGTTTAACTTTGGTGGTTGGAAAGCTTCTAGAAACAATTATTTGGGATAAAATTAGTAAGTCACTAGTAAGTCATTAGTAAGTGGCAAAAAGTTAGATTGATTAGGAAGAATCAGTACGGATTTCTAATGGAGGAATCATATTTAACTAACTCCCCGCAGTTTTTTGAAGAGGTAACAGAAAAGCTTGATGAGAACAACACTGTTGATATGATGTACATGCATTCCTACACATGCAGTGCCACACGCCAGACTTGTGCAACAGGATCACCATCTTTGCAGTGAAAGAAAGAAAACTTTGTAAAGTGCCTCACAACAGAATGGAAGGTATCTTTGGTGTGTAGACCAGACTTTCTCTCCAGGCCTGCCTTGAAGTCTGGAGTAACTTGCTGCATCTTTTAATGAAGTTCTGTGCATTGAGGCCAGATTCTTTCCAGGAAATGGTGTATTGCCTTTTAAAGGGGATTGTTGGTTGTTAGTGACTTATTAACTACAAAGCTCACATTATTACTATGTGTCTTCTTATCCTACTACCTGCCAGGAGCAGACTAAATGCCAAGAATTCACACCATAGAATGTAGAGTAGTTTCCTGGCATCTTTAGTTTACCGCAGCATGATCTATGGGCACGAATTGCAATCATCCCTCATCCATGGAGATTAGTGTCTGATATTTGCTAACCCCTCAAGTCCCTCATGATACCCGTCCAATCCAATTGCAGGATGCTTAGGAAGTATTAGCCAGCATTGCAGGGTTGCAACTAGCATTGAAAGGCTCCTGCAAGGACAGTTTGCATGCAGGGACAGGACTATGCTCACAGGTTGGACCAGGCTGTATTTCAGTGCTGCTCACTTGCTGTCTTAGCACTCACTCAGCATCCTTCTGAGATATTTGCAGTATCCATGCTTTGCCATGCTGGGCTATGCCTGTTAACATCTTGGTATTTTATTCAGAGCCTAAAGCCTGTCACTGCTGCCATTTGATATGCAACTGTCATGTTTGCCAGTAGGGATCTGTCCAGGGTGGGACTCATCTTCTGAAGTTCCGAAGAAGAGTCATACTGGGCTTAAAATGTTAATTCTCTTTCACTCTCCACAGAAACTGCCAGATCTTCTGAGTTTCTTCAGCATTCTCTGTTTGTTTCAGATTTTCAGCATTCGCAGTATTCACAAGAACCATCTTACTGCACGGTACACCAATACGTCAATCTAACACCTGTAGCCTGTGCTAGCTGCCTGCCTGGAAAACACACTGCACATTTATTCAACCAAATGGACAGTGTCAGAAAGTGAGCAAATGTTCAGTCTATCACTCCCTGATAGTGCAGGGAGGTCCCACCACTATCAATCATAGGCACAGTCTGGGCATAGTCCACAGGTTGGCCATGGTCAGTCATCCACTTGAGCCAGTCCATGTCAGGATATATATCTGACTAAAGGCTAGCGACTGGGCAACAGTCAGTTCTGTAGGGCCAGCAGAAGCAGTCAGGGGAATTGCATATTGCCAGTCAGGGAGCTGCAAAGACAGCAGTCGGGGCTTGGTCAGTCATGTCTAAAGGTTACTCATTAAAGTTGGTCAGAGGTCTGGGGCAACTACTATCCTGTAGGTCTGTATGTTGATTATTGATAAGGGTGCAACGTGAGGCAAGAGGGGAAAGGGAGTCTTATTGCTAAAAGGGGATTGTGGGGCATTTAAGGCGAGGAGAAAGCAATGGCAAATGTTAAGATTGGGACAAGGATGTTGACAGGGTAAAGCTAAAGTTTAAGAGGGTTTGTAGAACAGCTTTAAATGTCATGGTAGGTTGCAGGGGCTGGGCTATTGGCAGGGATCACCACCGTGATATCCACAAGGAGGTGTAGAGGACCAGGGTGGACATCATTAAGATATAATGTCAAGTTTCAGGACAGGGACAAGATTTGGAGGCAAAGTTCAATGTGGTGGATCTACACATGGGCATGGTGGGGTGGTGTATGGTTGGAAATGTGTTCTCAGAGTAGTGCAAGGTAAAAGTGGACGTGGAGGCTCTGGTAATACATGGTGACCAGGTGGATCTCGGTAATGACAGTGCCCACCTTGAGCTGTGTTCCCTGCCACCATTTGCCATTCATTAGATACTAATTATATCTGCTAAATGGCTGGGGCGATGCCCAGGGTGAACGTAGTCAGTGTCAGTTTAATGAACAAAAATGAAGGATCCATGCCTGCTGGACAGTAGGACAATGAAGGGGCAAATACATGAAGCATGCAATTTCAAAATGCAGCTATATTTAATTTGAAATGATTTCATCATCTGTTTCCAATGCATTCAGAATGAATGGATATAATGTTCAAATGCTGGCCAAAGATGACTTGCAGCATGCTACTGGTACTTGCAAATCGTACTTGGCATCTCAATGACACAGAAATTAGGGGCAATAACTTGAAAAGAGACAAATGTTGGCCAGAAGTCACCCTCGCTGTGAAACTCCAAAGGGTGCCTTAGGAGGCAGGATCACTTCGTCATCTTTCAAGTATTGTGCTGGACTCTAGAATTCAATGATAAGTTTCATGGTTAATGTGGGTCTGGGATGGGAAACGGTTCAGAGTGCAGCAGGGACTCACTTTAATGTTCTGTGTTGATCATTCAGCCAGCACTGTACCTTCACTAAGTTGGTCACATGCTGAAGCTGAATGCTTGAGAGAGACATGGCCCTTGTATGTCTCACTGTAGGGAGTAGTACATTGATATTGTATTGATGAGTTGCAGCCTCCATCTGCTGTGTATGCCACCACTGCTTGTTCTCATATAAGAACTTGATTTACTTTTTATGTTCCCAACAGAGGTCATTGCCAGCACGGGTCACATGCTGGCTGCTGGTGGAATGTTTGTCATTGTGGCTGCCTTCCTAAGAAAGTGAAGGTGAATGCAACAGGATCATTGCTAAGGGCAAGCCTAGGTAAAAGAAGGCTGCTGCAGAATGCAAGGAGTAGTGACTTCAGGCAGAAGTAGCAGTGGCAGATCCTTTCAAGATGTATCAGGTCTACTAGAGGACCAAAGCTTTTTGCTCCTAATTCCCATTTCCTTGTGATGAGCGAGGTGCAATAACGACACAGGCTCAGTTGGTTGGATGGATTTCTTTTTCTTTATTTATTGTCCATCCCTCATTTCCCAAAGGGCAGTTCAGAGTCTGGAGTCACATGTAGGCCAGACCAGGTAAGAATGGCAGTTTCCTTCCCTAAAGGACATTAGTGAACCAGGTGGGATTTTCCCGACAATCGAAAATGCATTCATGGTCATCATTAGATTCTTAATTCCAGATATTTTATTGAATTCAATTTCCACCATCTGCCGTGGCGGGATTCAAACCCGGGTCCCCGGAATGTTATCCGGGTCTCTGGATTTACAGTCCAGCAATAATGCCACTAGGCCAATGCCTCCCCTTGGATAGTTTGCAATACAAAGTAACGACAACAATATAAGTTCAATTCCCACTCTTTTTCTCAACCTGCCTCAGGTTAAACCACCACCAGTCATCTCTCTCTGTCGCTTTGTAATGAGAGACCAAGCCTATAGTGTGGTAGGACTATGACAACCTTGACTTTACCTTTGCCTAAGTAAAAGTTCATCTTTGGAGTTGTCTGATTGCTTACCTGTATGTGGTATTAGGGACAGAGTGGCAGTGACCCAGAGACGGTGTTTAGATGGTTTGTCTTTAAGGACAAGTAAACTGTGTGACTTCATGGTTGAATGACTACTCGTGTGAGAGAATGGCAGTGTACGTGAAAGGGAATGTCAGCCATATTAGCTATGTGCTGTGAGCCACATGACTTTTTGCCTGCTATCTCATTATATTGCGAGTGAGGGCCAATGCTAGATTGCCAACGCTTGCCTGGGTGCATAGCAGGCTTTTAAAGATGGCGCAGCCACCAAGGATTCTGGTCTTTCAGCAGAAGTCCAGTTAGTGGCAAGTTGTTCCAGAAATGGTAGTATTAGGACAGATCTAGAATAGGGCAAGAGGGGCACCATAGGGGTGGGATAGATAGTTAATGAGGTATGTTTGGTAAGATATAGTAAGACATCTTACTGGACCTCACAGCAAAAAACCTTCCATGAACTCAACAAAATTGGCATTTAGCAAAGTAAGAGGTTAAGATTAACCCAGTATGTTTAACATAATTGAATATTTAGAGTGTTGTTATCTGGATTCATGATTTTACATTTTGATGAGTTAAAATTAGATGTTGAACAGTGACTTAATTTGTGGCTTCATTCTTTAAATAATATCTGCGGGTTTGGATTCTTATGGAAAAAATGAAAAACATTACTGATGTCCATTCATATCATAACAAATAACATTACCACAACACTACCCTTTCCCAATGAAGGGTGCATATCTGAAGAATGATAATCTGCCTTCTGGCTGTTGACTTCCCAGTGTCATGTGATAAAATAGTAGTTACAATTTCAATGAAGTGTAATGACCGGCATATAGAGTCTTTGTACATTACCTATGCTATTCTCGTTGGTTGTTGCTCAATCTGATGACATCTCCGTATCCTGTTTCTGTCATGGTCTTTATGTGACTGAACAGGCAGATTCTTGTCCTGCAGATCACTGGGCACGTGGGGCAGGATATCATGCAAGATAGTGGAATCCGCAATGCAAGGTTTGTTTATTTCTTGTTTCTTCTGTGGCATCCACTCTTCTTCATCAGTAAGGAGTTTGGACTCAAAACATGATGCAGCTTAGTGGACAAGTTATTGCCATTTTGAACGATTGGTTGCAAGCTTCTCCCAGTCTTTAATGCCAATGCCTCAAGAAGAGCTTCAGAATGTCTTTGTACCATTTTCATTGTACTCTAGTTGGGATAAAAATTTTTCGGTCATGTGGACGTATTGCCTCGTCCATCATCATTGATTTTGCAGCAGTTTTGCCTGAATCCCTGTAATTCTGGCTTCAAAAAGAGTGTTAGGGTTTGTTTGTGGTCGTATTGAATCTGCAGCAACTGGAGCTTTTCTGGTATAACCTCCCTAGCACTCTTGTGTATTGCTAATGCACAGTCCAATACAGGAATGTGGTAATGATATTTATAGTACAGGAGTGTCATAATGATAACAGGTCTGTACACTAGGACTTCTGTTGACTTGTGCAAGTCTTTATTGTCAAACACTCACTGCCATAGTTTGTAGAAGATTGAACTGGCACAACTGATTTGATGTTGAATTTCTTCACCAGAAAGTACCTTTTAAGAAAGTTGGTTGCCATGGAATGGAAAGTGCCCAATGTATTCCACAGTTCGTACTCAACAGATATGGAGGTAGAATACTTGACTGACCAGGTCTGCTTTGATACACAAGTTTTGATTTTGTAGCATTCAAGACAAAACCAAGTCTCCTGTGTGCAGAATTGAAGAGATTTGCTACAGACTGCAGGACAACAGCACTGCAGTCATCCACAGACTATAGATCATGAATGTTTGTCGCGGTCAGTTTTGTTTTAGCACAGAGGCAACTGAGCTTTAAAAGTTTCCATCTCAGTGGCATTTACACCAGAGAGCAGTTGGACTTTGATAAGGTGAATAGTCAGCATCAGATAAATTGTAAATAGTAGGGAAGCTTTCACACAGCCTTGTCTGAGTCCAGTCCAAAATCTGAACGTGTCTGTTTCAGATATCCAACTCAAGACAGTTACAGTCTTATCAGCATGATGTAGTTGCAGGTTTGTGATGAAGTTTCATATGTATCCAAATCTCGGCAGCACCACCAACAGAACCTCACAATTTACTGAATCAAATACTTTGGTCAGGTTAATGGACACAGTGAAGACTTTCTGATATTGTTCTGATCAATTTCCTTGGATTTACCTGGCAACAAAACCATGTCAGAGATTCTTCTAAAAGGTCTGAAATCACACTATGTCTCTTGTAGGATTTTCTCAGTCATGGTAAGTAGACAATTGTCACTATACCAGTGCTCCATGACAGACTAAAAAGCATATGCTCTGTGAGATTATTCTGTTCTGCTAAACAGGGCTGGTCAAAGCACTTTGAGCTACAGGGTGTTAAATTTGTATGAGGCACAAATCGGCTGTGTTGGATTGGGAACATATATTAAAGGCATGACTGTATATAAGCAATGAGCAGAATCAGGAGAATTGAAAATGGAATAAAGAAATGGCAGAGAAGCTAAATAATTTCTTTGATAACACAGTATGGAGCTGGAGAAGCATATCAGGCCAGGCAGCGTTAGCGGTGCAGGAAAGTTGACGTTTCGAGTTGGGACCCTTCTTCAGCATCTGCAGTTCTTGCTATCTCGAAATAATTTCTGTGTGTATGTTTTCACAAAAGAAGATACAAGAAATCTTCCAGAATTAGAGATCCAAGTGACTGGAGAAAATGAGGAATTGGAGGAAATTACTATTAATAAGAAGGTTGTACTGGAGAGTGAAAAGGGCTGAAAACTGATAATCCCTGGGACCCGATAGTCTACATCCCAAAGTGTTGAAGGAAGTGGTATAGAGATAATTGATACATTGGCAATGATCTTACAAAATTCCATTATCTTTGGAATGGTTCCCGCAGATCAGAAGCTTGAAAATGTCACCTACCATTCAAGAAATGAGCAGGAGAAAAACCAGGGAACTACTTACTTAGAGATAGTAGGAACTGCAGATGCTGGAGAATCCGAGACAACAAGGTGCAGGGCTGGATGAACACAGCAGGCCAAGCAGCATCATAGGAGCAGAGAGGCTGACGTTTCGGGCCTAGACCCTTCATCAGAAAAGGGGGAGGGGAAGGGGGTTTTGAAATAAATAGGGAGAGAGTGGGAGGCGGATAGAAGAGGGATAGAGGAGAGGATAGGTGGAGAGGAAACAAACAGGTCGAAGAGGCGGGGATGGAGCCAGGAAGGGTGAGTGTAGGTAGGGAGTTAGGAAGGGGATAGGTCAGTCCAGGGAGGACAGACAGGTCAAGGGGGCGGGATGAGGTTGGTCGGTAGGAGATGGAGGTGCGGCTTGAGGTGGGAGGAGGGGATAGGTGGGAGGAAGAACAGGTTAGGGAGGCAGGGACGAGCTGGACTGGTTTTGGGATGCGGTGGGGGGAGGGGAGATTTTGAAACTTGTGAAATCCACATTGATACCATTGGGCTGCAGGGTTCCCAAGCGGAATATGAGTTGCTGTTCCTGCAACCTTCGGGTGGCATCGTTGTGGCACTGCAGGAGGCCCAGGATGGACATGTCGTCTGAGGAATGGGAGGGGGAGTTGAAATGGTTCGCGACTGGGAGGTGCAGTTGTTTGTTGCGAACCGAGCGTAGGTGTTCTGCAAAGCGGTCCCCGAGTCTCCGCTTGGTTTCCCCGATGTAGAGGAAGCCACACCGGGTACAGCGGATGCAGTATACCACATTGGCAGATGTGCAGGTGAACATCTGCTTGATGTGGAAAGTCTTCTTGGGGCCTGGGATGGGGGTGAGGGAGGAGGTATGGGGGCAGGTGTAGCACTTCCTGCGGTTGCAGGGAAAAGTGCCGGGTGTGGTGGAGCTGGAGGGGAGTGTGGAGCGGACAAGGGAGTCACGGAGAGAGTTGTCCCTCCGGAAAGCAGATAAAGGTGGGGAGGGAAAGATGTCTTTGGTGGTGGGGTCGGATTGCAGATGGCGGAAGTGTCGGAGGATGATGCGTTGGATCCGGAGGTTGGTGGGGTGGTACGTGAGGACGAGGGGGATTCTTTTTTGGTTTTTATTGCGTGGACGGGGTGTGAGGGATGAGGTGCGGGAGATGTGGGAGACACGGTTGAGGGCGTTCTCGACCACCGAGGAGGGGAAGTTACGGTCCTTGAAAAACGAGGACAACTGAGATGTACGGGAGTGGAATGCCTCATCCTGGGAGCAGATGCGGCGGAGGCGAAGGAATTGGGAATAGGGGATAGCATTTTTGCAGGAAGGTGGGTGGGAGGAGGAGTATTCTAGGTAGCTGTGGGAGTCGGTGGGCTTGAAATGAATATCGGTTTCGAGGTGGTTGTCCGATATGGAGACAGAGAGGTCCAGGAAGGGGAGAGAGGTGTTAGAGATGGTCCAGGTAAATTTAAGGTTGGGGTGGAAGGTGTTGGTGAAGTGTATGAACTGTTCGAGCTCCTCGTGGGAGCACGAGGCGGCACCGATACAGTCATCAATGTAACGGAGGAAGAGGTGGGGTTTAGGGCCGGTGTAGGTACGGAAGTACTTACTTAGGTTCTAGCACTTTCACTATTACCGATCGTAAAGGACATGATAAATGGACACTTGGTAAAAATTATCTGATTGGACATAGTCAGCATAAAATTGCAAATGGAAAATCGTGTTTGATAAATGTGAGGTAGTTATTTACAAACTTGATAAAGGGAATTTGATGGATTATAGTATATTTGAATTTTCAGAAAACTTTTGATAAGGTCTGCCACAGGAGGTTGGATAGCAAAATTAAAGCACATGATACAGGATGTAGTGTACTTGCATGTATTAAGGATTTGCTAACAAACAGAAAACAGTGAATAGGAAAAAAATGGGTCTTTCTTGCATTGGCAGAATGTTATATCTCATTTGGGTAGTATGCCAGAAATCAAGCCCTACTATTTCCACATCATCACAAAAGTTAAAGGTTTTAAAAAGTATGTCAAATTCCCTAAGTTACCTGTCTTTTAGACCCAAGTTGACTCAAAGCATGACCAGGTTCTACACTAAAAAAGAATTGCAACTTGTTATAGATAAATAGATTCCAGATAAACAATTATGAACTATCAGCATATAACTCGACTACTTAAAACTAACCAACTTATAAAATTCACGAATAAAAACAAAGTTGCTGGAAAAGCTCAGCAGGTCTGGCAGCAACTGTGAAGGAAAAAATAGAGTTAACGTTTCGGGTCCGGTGACCCTTCCTCAGAACTTCCTCAGAGATATAAAATTCACCTTCGACACCCACATACATTCAGATAGACATAAAGAAAACGGAGTTATGATGGAGGGAAAGATTGGGAATGCATTTCAGTGGTCCCTGTTCGCAGACTTTTCTGAGATGATCCTTCTGATCAGAACACTGCTTCTTGATTATGCTTCTTCAGATACTTTCATTTGTTTGCAGGAGGCACAGGGTGACTGGTTCGCGCTCATTAGGGTCCTGACTTATTTCTTAATGGTCACAACTTACACCACCTAAAAAGCAGAAATTAACTAGCTATCTTCAGGCTTGTGATGCTTTTTTATAGCAGAGCAAAAGCAGCTCCTTCCCCTCTATACATTCAGTGGCTTCTGCCCCAAACATTCACACACCCAAGCTGTTCAGCTACCTGCATGCCAATCACATATTTGTGGCAGGCAGGAGGCCTCTGTTATCAATAACTAATCGCTATTTTATAGATCAATCAGCTCCTTATTGCAGGCCAAACGTCCATTCATGCCCCCTGGCTCCAGCTCATTTATAACTAGGTATTCAGATAACTTGCAGTGAATGACAGGTAGCTTGCTTTTAAAAAGCACAACAATCCTTAGTTTTTAAATGAAACCTTTCCCTATTTCCACTTACAATCAAAATACAGAAAAATAAAAAAGTCTTAATAAGACTGTGACTAGAGAGGTACTGCAAGGGTCAGTATTTTTGTCCCCAGCTCTTTACAATATATATCAATGATTTGGTTGTGG